ATTCGCAGCATAAGCAGGGTATGCAGCAGCAGCAGAACGGCTTGACGATCACTGTGATACCCATTCTGGAAAGTTACATTTGTTAATTATTATTTGTAGTAAAAACTTCTTCTCTTCTCTTCGTCAATGTCACGGAAGCATCTGCAGACAGCGCAGGAGCGATGGTTGTAAAAACCCTTGGGTATTTTGGCTCAGTCGAACGAAAGGTGGTTGTAGTGGAAGAAACAATGCCTTTAGAATTAATAATAATAATAGAACAATTAACTTCCTATAGAAATAAGTAGATAGTACTAACACTGAGGTGCAAAATTTTTGGTTGTTGATTATTGAACTAACATAAAAAACAGTATTAAGTGGGACTTGAACCTCATCCTTTTACTTGTCAAGCAGTCAGAACAATCGCTGATAGACAGGAATCGGCGCTAAGGACGTTTTATCTACAAGGGAAAAGTACTGGAAATTATGATATTTTACATAGGTTCATAAAATAGGAATTTGTTTCTGAACTTCGCAGTCATCAACAAAAAAATGATAAGAAGTGCGTTGGCAGATCATCGGGCCGTTAGTCTGGTGTAAATAATCTATGGTCAGGTGATTATTGTGAGGGTAATATAGGAGAAAACTAACAACGTACCTACTGTAAAAAGCGACGCAGTAGATACGAGGCCAATATCCAATAGTAAGTAACTCTGAGCTCACTGCTCTACAAAGAAAACGTTTCCCTCACAAAGGCCAAACAAACAAATCAAGATAAAATCCGCAAAAAATACGTTTTTATCTGAATGATACAAAAAATGCATTTAAAGTATTCGGCCTTAAGCACCGTATTGTTTGAGGCAAGTCTGTTATCAAGACGAGATAAAGAAGTACCACTCAAAACAAATATTGCAGCCTGCTAAGAATAAACGATGTCACCATGTAAGTAGGTAAATTATGTTTGTTTGTACTTAGTGGATTTTGTGAGTGAAAATAAAAACTAAGAACTTGTTGTTGCTCTTTGAAATATGTCATGAGACTGGCATACCTATTGAAAGCTATAGCAGCTATACGGTATCTCTGACAAAACTTTTGAAACAGTTATTGAACTAGTATTTCAGACAGGTAAATCATTTAATAAAACTATCCTTAGATCACGGTAACGCAGGAGTAGCAGCGGTAGGAACGAGATATAGAAAAGATACTTCACTCTACCCCAAACTACTCGAAATACTCAATACATAAATACACATAATATTCAGTAACTAATTATAGTAAGTACTTTACAAGACTATGAAGGCTGATTTAATACCAGCAAGCATTGTCTACCACTCAACTAATAAAAAAAATGTAAACATTGAAGTAGAGGCCTTTACAAAATATCTTCCAGTAATAAAATCTCGTGGAAAGCATTAGGGGAGGCCTATGTTCAGCAGTGGACGTCCTATGGCTGAAATGATGATGATGATGATGATGATGAATAAAATCTCAAAATTGGTTAATTGAAAGAAGTTTCTTAATACTGACCTACCGCATTAATAATATGTTGTCATCACCAACTGCACTTCAATATATGCCTATTAAGCAATAGGAACACTTGATTGTATTTTGTTGATCACCAATCGCAGCATAATATGTGTACCTACTGACACAGAACCGATAGCTAGCAACCTCGTTGTATAACTGCGCGTGCGCCACTTGTGCATTGAGTTTATTTTTCATAACGTGTTTCAAAAGTTGCTAATCTATAATGACCCACCTCAGTCGAAATCGACTTTGTGAAACTTAATTATATGGAAAATTAACATTCATTGTTCTGTGTAATGATGTACAGATTAATTCACAGTTATCTGCTCTTATTGTGTTCATTTATGACGTTTTTTCAATAGTTACGCTTATTATTTTAATTTTAAAACAAAGAAAATAACACAGATCACGTGATATTATTATAATTATTTATTCCTAATTATTATTATTTGTCGAGGTTTAGATTTAACTACCCAATAACAAAACGCCTGTTAAGTTTAGGTAATAATTCAGTACTTATTTAAAAAATAATTTTGAATAACACGATATGATTCTAATAATTGACTTCGTGTATTCTAATATGCTGATATTAGTTTAACGTATTATATTTCACCTGTGTAAAAATTCTCATCTTTAAGACAATTTCACACTCCATAATTTGCTGTAACATTTTGTAATCAGGCATTATTGAGGTAGGATAGGTTTTGGGTTTAAAAAATCCAAAAATTAAAATAGAACGATGCATTAAATTACGGAAAAAGTATGTATATTCTCGTACTTTGTTACAAATAATTCATTTTTCTTATAAATAAGAGAATGGTTAAAACAAGTTACATTTTGGTTTGTAAAATCTGTCAAAATAAAGTTAAAATACAACCCAAAAACACAACTCAAATTAATGGAGGAACCAGTAAAATGACTAAAATATAAGTATATATAAATTTCCTTAAAAATATAACAAGATGATCAGTTAAATCTAAAGAAAATTTAGGTTTTCTTGTGACTTAAACCTGCTTTGGTTCGATGTTATTATAAATACTATTCTTTAATAGAAATGGAAGGTATATTGTGTTCAGCAAGATACAACAAAGGCTAAAATTACATTCCTTTTCAATCAGGAATATAAATTAACGAAAAACATACCAAACCTTACACTTTATCACTATCGTCTGTTAATATTAACCTTAGTTATCTATATAAATATAATAATGTGCATAATTATGTAAATAAACATGCTTACAGCTACAAACTTAGAACTTCATACAATATTTTACACATAATATTTATTTTCATGATAATCTTAAACCTGACGTTGCATTTTTTTTTTGACATACATAAATGGCATAGAGAAATACTATGCCTTTTTCCCGGCATTGGAATAATAAAGTAGCTAGCTTTTATAAAAACAATTTCAATTAGAACATAAATAATGTAGGTATTAGGTACTTGTAATTAACATCATGTACAACAGTGCAGTAAATATTGTTTGTTTAACCAATAAAAAATAAACTTAAGTTTATTTAAAAAATTGCTGCGGCCGCACTGCGTATCTAACCTTGTATAGTTAATTGATAAGAACTTATCATCGCGTGTATTTAATCACACAAACTCAATATGATTAAATTGATAAATAACAACTAGATACCTATTGGATTTCTTGGAATATACATTTTCATAATTATCATGTCTTCAAAAGTTTATCAGATATTTTAGTGTGCAGGGGTCAAATTTATCACAGTAGCTTGTAAAATTATATACTGTACTTATATTTACAAGTATATGACAATCTGTGTAGCCCCCACGGGCTCTATATTTTTTTTTAATTATTTTCCGTCGATTTCTTATAACGTTATCAAACCAACGTTTAATTAATTCATAGAATTTGAGGGCAACTTTTAAAAATGTGACCAACAATTAATGGTCTTGCAAGTCAAGGTATGATCCGTGAATCGGAATTCACGCTTTACCATGTTTATTCACTTCAAAATAAGATGCAAAGAATACTGTTGTAGTAAAACTAAACATTATCGACATACCCAATGAATGAGCTGATCGCCTTAGATGTAGGGGGAGTCCGGGAGAGTTTACCCGCCTTCCACTAAAATGCTCATAAATATTTCTATACTTACAAATCGCTATTTTTTATTAATTGTATGTTAAGCTACATTATTTAGCTATATTTTCTTCTAAGAAAGTTTAATACATCATTATTAGTTTAAGAGTAATTAACAATTTTAACCAAAGTGATATTTGGCTAATATCTCCCGCCTGGGTGGGAGACTTTACCCCCCAAGTAGGGAGCCTTTACCCGGGTTTAAAAATAAGCAAAATAATCACTAAAAATTATAATACTATAAAGAAATTTAATCTTCTTGAATGAAAATGTGTAACAATTTAATTCTTTGAGGTTTTGAAAAAAATCAGCAACGTTTTTTCTATTAAAACTGGTTGATCTGGATAAACTAGTTTCTACTGGGGCAACACCTCTAATTTTCCTTTATCAATGTTACATACCCATAGCATTTCTTATTACTGACAGATCTAAATGGTTCCTATTTCTAGATGTTCCTTTTTATATTGGAAAGGCATTTTGGATGATTATCTGCAATAAAAGTACCAGATTACCCTGGGTAAAGTCTCCTCCCGATGCCAGGCTAATGTCTCCCACCCCAGGTCAAGCTGTCCATTATTACATTTTTATAAAAAACTATAACACTTAAGTAAAAACTGTCTACCGTAAATGGAACTAGGATAATTACATTTACTATGTATATAAATGACATGCTGGAATCTATTCATAGTAAACAACTGAAATCAAATATCGAAAATTGAAAAAAGTTACTTTTTGGGCTCGAAAATGTGTTATCACTTGTCACTCCTAAACCAAACTACCAATCGCAACGGCAATGCGTGAGCGAGGTGGGACGCACCTAAGGAGTCTAAGAAGTGTGGCTACGTCGCAATATTTAGTTCCATAAAAATTCTATGAGCAGTGGCTATTGTCTCCCACCTGCTAAACTGTCCCGGACTCCCCCTAGAGCTTGGAAACCTAAACTGAATTACAATAATATACTGCTTAAACCTATAAAAGGTATATTGTAAAAAAAACCTGACGCGTCCGAATCCGTCAAATAATAAAAAAATACTGACTTTATACAAGTTTTTGCAAACATTATACTTAATTGCGTTAAATTAGTAGATCTCCACATGAAGAGATAATGACAAGTTTCCATGGTCAAGGTAAAATTTTTGCAACTGTGTACGGCAACAACGATAGTTAAATGTCGTTAGTAAGGTGAAATAAGATTGCATACTTATACTTTGGTAAGGAATCATAAAAAAATTACCTTGATGGAAAATATTATTACCTAGAGTCGCTTAAATTCTAAAACCGCGCAAAAATTTTCGATCTTTTGAGACTAATTGATAGAGAAAAGAAATAGTAACGATTTAAAATAAAACAACTGAAGCTCAAAAGAAACTGAGCATCAGAAACCTTCGGCGAATAAACCTTTATTCGATAATAACATTTATTCGTCCAAGTGCTCGGGAACTTAAACGGTGATAATGCTGACAACACACGATTTGAGAGTCTTTTTTCTGTTAAATGATGGGTTCTCCGCCATAGTTAGGTTATTGAAATCCTTTGGAGGCATTTATCCGGCAGTGGACGTCCATTAGTTGAAACGAACGGGTTATCTTCTATATGGAGGTGGCGCATGCACTGCTGGTTGACTGACAACAATGGTGGTGTGAGGTGGTGGTGCTGCTTGTGTGACGTGGACCACCGTGCGCTGCCTTGGTTCCCCGCAGCAGTCGCAGCAGCAGCAGGGGATGCAGCAGCAGCAGCAAGGGCGGCAGGAGATGTTGCAACCCATCCTGGAACGTAACAGTCCATGATTAGTTTACTTTGTAATGGAGCGTATCTGCGACTTTGAGACTGAGATTAGCAAGCTGAAATGGCAATGGACAGGGCACATAGTACGCAGAACTGACGGCCGATGGGGCAGCAAGGTTCTGGAGTGGAAGCCACGTACCGGGAAGCGCTGCGTGCGATGTCCACCCACAAGGTGCGCCGCGACCTTTTAAAGGTCATGTTGGAAATCAGGCCTATGTACAGCGGTGGACATCCTATGGCTGAAATGATGACGTCCTATGGAGACTCACTGGTTTTGTCAATGCCAAGACGTGTTGGACGTGAATTTTCCGGGTGACAAAATGTAACTTGGTAATGCATCTTGGTTCTAAACTAATAAAAAACGTTTTTGTATTTGTTTTAATCATTCAAAAAGCAAACAAATCGAGTTATAAGTAGTAATCGGATGTTTAAACACACGAAACAGAACTGAAATTTGTAGAGACTTACGTAAAAATCAGGAAAACGTAGAAGAAATAAATCTATTCACATGAGTCAACAAATGTGTGGTTACATGAATCGTTTGGAAAAACTATGAGTCACACACATACACTATCTAGTGCGATGCGGTGAGAAATGTAAACTGTGAAACAAACATCCTTTTATATTATATCTGATGATTGTATTATCAATTCTTTATCAATTTAGTAATTACCTTACGGAATTGTAGCTTATTTTTTTGTTCATAAAGATCAGAATCAATATGATAGCTCGAAAAGGATTACTGGTAAGGAGTAGCTTTCTTGCGAATAGCTAGATCATACCTACTAATAATTATACTTATAGGCAAGTATAAATTACTCAAGTCCAATAGGTATGAATGACCTACGTTGTCGACATCGCAAACAAAAAAATTGAGAAGTACCTAAATGAAAGCCAAGTTGTGAACTTACAAGGAAATCCTAATTAAATTAGTATATTCCTTATGTTGGTGCAATACGAAGCAAGGACTTATGATTCAACGGCTTTTATTTCAGCAGTGTCAGACATTTTAGAGATCCGTATCACATTCACTCTAACGGACGAAAGACAGTATGTCATGCTAAGTAAATACTGTAGAGTCCTACCTATGTTAATTATTCCTAGTAGGTGTGATTTTCAAAAAAAAAGTCATATTATGTTGGCGCCTGTTTGTTTCAGCCAAATGACGTCCAATTTCTAAGTAACTGTTTATCCCTGTGTACTTACCTACGTACACGTATCTTTTGTATTTCTCGATTATGTAGTTTTTCAGTCATCAAAAGTCAGTCTATTCCTGGCTTTTATAAAGTAAGTAGGTGTTATTCCTGATAATGTTAAAAAATCTTTAAAAACTTAGAAATTAAGAATTTCCTACTGGCTTCGTGAGCAAATCCACGTGCCAATGCTGTATCTTATATGTCTGCTTATGCCATTTTTCAAGGCAAAGACAACGTACTTACCTACCAAAAAACAAGGCGAACTACATTTACATGCCGGACAAATTCAGTAAACATCCAAAGTTACTTAGAGAAATACACCGTTAATAAGTTTAAACGTTTTAAAAACCTTTAAAACGACGACACAATAATATAGGTTGGTACCTCTATATAGCAAGTTATGTCCAATGGTATGTAGTTTGCATTAATTAATGAATATTAATGATACACCAGAGATTAGTTTAGTTACAATAAATAGGAACAAGTAATTAGGTTTACGTGGCATGGGCATCATGCATTGTAAATTGGTTAAATTAGAGTATGTTGGCAACATGCTATGTTAATTAACTATTTACAATAAACATAAACGGGGCCTATTTCAATCGCCACCTTGTAAACAATATCTTTTCTTTGCCAAATCATTCTCATTGAAAGAAACCTTGTTAGTATTGCAATAAGTGAACAGCAAGTATTAGGTATTTCACGAAGTTTTTGATGCAGATTTAGAGATTTTTGAGTTGTGCTGCCCTTTATCTAGGTGTGCGTTGTGTGGATTAAATATAATCACGTGCAAGCAGTCGTCCACTGTGCGAACTCACCTTGATTAGATTAGCCCCTTCTCATCGGTGCTGAGGGCCGTAGGGATCGTACGGTTGCGGGTGTGGGTACGGGGGATAGTGCTGCGGAGGGGGGTGCGGGTACGGGTATCCCCCAGGGGGCGGTGGAGGGTACTGCTGGTCGACGACAACCGGCGGCTGCTGCACTATGATGGTCTGTGGCGGCTGCTGCTGCTGCTGCTGCCCGCAAGCGTTGGGGCACAAGCACGGGATCAGGCAGCAAGCGCTCAGCGCCAAACAGCAGGGGTTGCAGCCACAATCCCCGCAGTCTCCACAGTCGAACGAGAAGCACAGGCCCATCCTCGATTACGGTCCACTCTTCACTAAAATCGATACATTCAATGATTCACTTTTTATCACAACGCAGACTACGAACTGTAACGCACACCGAAATAGCACTAAACTCAACAATTTAAGTTTCAGAATTGTGCGACTCCCACACATATAATGGTGGACTGTTATCATGAGATAATATGTGATATTGTTATTACAGTATTTGTTCGCAATGAGGTGTTAGCACGCAATACCAAATTTAGAAATGGCGACAGGATAACAGTATCAATATCATCAAAGTTAGTTATCATAATGACAAAATTCTTAGACTTCGCCTTACTAGGAAGCTAGTTCGATTCAAGGAATATGTTATCAAACACACTTCCAATCTTGATAGTTAAATGAGCCTATATTACATATGATATTAGGTTAAAGGAACTGAGTATTCCGAGTCGACTCATATCTTTGGGGAGAAATATAATTATTACCACAGCAGCCTGAAACAGTGAGTTTTGCCACCTACATTTGACCGTAACTACTTATAACGATAACCGGTGTTTTTTGTATGGAGTTTGACAGATTTTTGACACTTGTCAAAGTTAAAGTAAGATGGTGCAACCCAGCTTTAGCATCAATTGCTTCAGGCTACGAGTTAAAAATGCTCCGGGCAGTCTGCTGATGTCTCTGGTCATTATTTACCTACCTACTTTATCTCTTCAGTCTATAGCAGTCCATTGCTGGATATCAACCTTCCCCTACACTCTGTATTTAACCTGCCTTCGACTTGTGACATCTTTACTTTTTTTCTTTTACTAACCAAAAATTACAGACAATTAATTAAACTTAACTAGGTATCTACTAGGATAAAAAAGAGAGAACTATTAAATGTCATGATGAGCGTACAAGCGGAGCGAATAAAGCGTATTTAAAAGAATTTCATTGAATTTTAGCGTACCTAGGTATTTCTACTTGGTTGAAACTTATTTTCATGATATAAAACTAAACAACCAATGAGATCATTTCTCATCAAATATCTACGTAATTAAGTGTATTTATTTAATCAACAACAACAATATTTTGTTGAATTTTTCCGGTTTGACGCTTAAGACTCTACCGATATTGTATTACCTATTTAGCCTTAATTTAAATTAGGTATTGAACTTTAAATTGTGGCTTGTTTTCATTATATTTTGTTGCTCCTACGAGCAACTACCACGCAGCTGAGCATCTAATGTCTTGTTAAGTAAGTTCAGAAACACTCCGAATATTACTTTCCCTATAGATTTACCTCTAGTAGACTGCGGAAAGGTATTAAAAATGCGAGAAAACTAATTATTTTCAAAACTCAACAAAATTGTAATGTTTGACGTCGCTTGATCGCTATTTCAATTTACTAACTGTGTAGGTATCTAAATAATGTTACAGCAATTAAACATTGGGTTTACTTTTATCTAAAAACGAATTACCTACCTAGCTAAAAGAACTAAATGGGTGCATTGATAAAGAAAGAGTTACATCTGTGTGCGGTTTATGTCTTTTCATTGTTTGACTCTACAATTCATTCAATGTCTGTTTTAAAATACTTAATTGTAATTTAAAACAGAGCTAAGTACCCACTTAAAATGCATTTTCAAGGTTATCGCCATTATTCGTTTAACTAAGTTAGTTACCCATTCTGGGTGTTCCTGAACTACTTAACAAGATTGATTGCAAAACATTTTAAGGCTTTTAAAGTTACCTAAAACCCAATTACTAAATCCACATTTTATGATCCACCCATCAACCAGTAAAAAATAACAATTATATTTATTTGTTGAAAATACGACACCTAATAAAAAGCATCAGATTATGTATGTACTTGGCTGTCTCAATTAAATATAAAATATAGAGTAACGATAACATGTAAATATTACACAAGTGGGGTATTTTATTACGTAGACAAATGTCGAAGAAAAATTGATGGAAATGCTATAAAATTATTTATATTAATTTGCTCTACCAACTGGATAATAGATTAGACAAATATGAATATTTTTTTACGTTGCACACACATTCGCAAGAGTTTAGTGACATCACAAAACAAATAAACACACACTCCTGCAACTTATCACATGACACCTTTTGTTTTCACTGCTTTGTTGCGTGGACGACCAATTTGTTAGTAGAAGCAAAGCAAAAGTTATAGAAAAATTAGAGCCTACCTTACTGGATATACAGCATTTGTTAATTACACTAATAAATGACGTACGAGTCGCGTTTAAAAGACCAATTTACAGCGAGGCAAGCGCACCTGTGGCGTGACACTCAGTGAGTAAAAGGAAAATTGTTATGACGAGGCAACCGCCTGCGCTTACAGCTCTATCGCTCTTTGCAACGGTTAGTCTAAGAGCCTGATACCACACATTTTGACTCATCCTAGAATCGGTAAAACCCACCTCAAGACCGGGTGTAGGACTTAGTTGATATACATTAAATAAATAATATAATTTTCAATTACATTCTTAGTGGAAATCCTGACGATTTTTTATTTTATTCTCATGAAATTACTAATTTAAACTCCATTAAACTAGATTAGACAGGAGCTATATTGGCTCATTTTCAGAATGATAAAGATAACAGATTTGTCAAAAATAAATAAATAATTCGATAAATTAATGTTAATAATGTAACATTTACGTCCTTACTACAACATCACTGAGCTTTTTATTTTGGGTCTGTTGCAAAATAAAAAATAAAATTTTACAGTGCGATACAAACTGTATATTTAGAACTAAATTCACATTCTAATTTGTAAAATGCCAGTATTTTCAAACCGTTAACGTATTTCGTTGACGAGGAAAATATTAAAATTAAGAGTTTATTGCACTTTTATTAGGGTTTGAATTAATGTGTACCATAAAATATGGTTTTTATTCGATTCAAACGATCTTGAACCGTATCGTATATTATCCTGCTTTCGCCTCCGAGATTTATTTTACCATGTAGTACCCCTGTACGACAACCCAATCCGCACACAATATTCAGCGTAGTAGTAGTAAAAAACAAAAGAGCGGGCAACCCCACCCCTACCACGCTGTGGGCTCGGTGTCCGAGCGGTCTCATTTTTTAACCAGTAGCGTTAATACGAGATATTAACCAGCAGCCACTTTATGTTCGGTTATTTTTTAACCAGTAGCCGTTTTTTGCTCTAGCGAGTAAAAACGAGATATTAACTACCGAGATAGCCAGGTATTGTAATATTATTCACTTTTACGAGCTCATACAGAAAAATGTTGCGTTTGTACGAAACTACCCACATTAAGAGCTTGCCTTCTTGGCCTTACACCTTATGAACCATCAACCGTCTTGGAGCCTGATGACCCGGCGCCGCGGACGCACTCGCCCCAGTCGAGCCTCCGCCTGCTTTTATAACTAGTATCTAAAGCTAATAAAATAATGGGATTTATTTTTAGGACCATTAAACCTTTTAGACAGTCAAGAAGCATACTAACACTATTCTACGCCTTGGTCAGAAGTGTTTTGGAATACTGCTCGGTGGTGTGGTCACCATATTATGATGTCCACATAGATAGAATAGAGGCTGTGCAGAGACGTTTCCTCCGTTGTCTGAGTGCAAAATTCGGTCTGAGGCGTAGGCTGGGTACCTACGAGTCCAGACTCGACTTTTTTAGGGTGAGCACCCTTCAATCTAGGAGAGGCATTGCTGGCATGGCTACGCTCTATAAGATCTTGAATTCCGAATGTGACTGCAGTGAACTGTTGAGCCATTTTTCACTTAAGATAGGTGGTAGTAAAAGAACGCAAAAACTTTTTTCCCTGCCAAAATGTCAGAATAATGTAACGTACAACAATCCAGTGTTCCGAATGTGTAGAGCTTACAATGAAATTAGCAAGGATCTAGATGTTTTCTCACTTTCTCGTGCATCTTTTCTTAAATTGTGTAGATGCAAATTGTAAACTAACATGCATGTATTTATTAGAATTATTACTGTATCACTTAAATCAAAGCTAGACTAAAACGAATGTTGTGTTCAGCTACAATCGGAGTGCAAATTAATTGTTAATTTTTGTTCAATGTACTTTATTTTTAAGCCATGATTTGCAATCTGTTGCTGTACCTTAATAAATAAATAAATAAATAAATTAGAACTTTCATGCTACAAGAATGCGTGGTAAATTCAGATTTATTTTCCTGAAACAGTAATTAATATGGGTGACTGAGTTTGTTGCTGCGTTTCCTTCCAGAACTTGCCTATCTTTACAATGATTGTAGGGAAAAATCTCTGAGACTCCTACTTATAATCCTACTTAATATTATAAATGCGAAAGTTTGTGTGGATGTCTGGATGTTTGGATATCTAGATGTTTGTTACTCTTTCACGCAAAAACTGCTGAAAGGATTTTGTTGAAACTTTACAGTATTATTGTTTATAACCCAGATTAACATACAGGTTATAATTTATGACGATATGTGACAAACTAAATTTCACGCGGGTGAAGCCGCGGGAAAAAAACATACGGGTCGAATTGAGAACCTCCTCCTTTTTTGAAGTCGGTTGATAATAAGCAATTCTTTGCATTTAAGGATTAACTATTTTTTATTTACAAAGTAATGTCGATTTGTATGTAGATAAGTCGTCTAACTCTAAACAAATAAAGACATCTCTAATAGTCTGCCCGCGACCATGACTCGTGCAACCGAGTCGAAGCGTCGGGAAAGGTTTCACCTTTTTAAAGCTTTATTTTTGTGTTGCCAAATCCCGTAATAGTGAGAATTTAGTCAAAAATGCACTATGAAAGTTTAAAAATACTAAATAAAACATTTTTAATTTGGACTTTGACCAAATTCGCGATTTCAGTTCGTTTGTGATTACAACTCGAGCAACGGTGCCAAACTTGCTACTTTCAGATGTAATTGCTATGACACGGGCTATGGATTATTGCGTGGATTCCTGTTATAATGTGTGAGTGAAGGAATGGTGTATGCGAGGCGAATGGGTTCTCGGATGACGCTATCGAAAGGGAGCTAGTAGAATCCTTCAATATAAACTGGATGGATATTTTACAAGTTCTTAATTCCAGTTAGTTTAGGCTTTAAAATAAACTGCCTTGTTTGTTTTTAAGCCTAAACTCTTGTGATCTTTATTACGCACGGCGACAAGAAGATAGATGACCAAACTCCGTCACACCTAGCCAATAAAGATGTCGACTTGGTCATTCATATTGTACCACCTGTAAAAGTTGTGGTTTTCTTGATTCTGTCAGATTGTAGAGTGGCTAGATGTACGAGTGTATACTCACTTATTCTCTGACATTGCTCACTGATTGAGTTGGAATAAAGAGATTAATCTCTGTCCCTAAGTTTGTTTGGACTTGAAATATATTTCACATACAAAAATAGTAAGAAACATAAAAGAATAAAATAATGAATTGCTCAAATCGAAATACGAATAACAAGTCAAGTTTCAGAACCCCAAAATATTACAAAAGAGCGTTCGGAACGTCAACAGTATTATGTACCTACCCACAACATCTACCTATAGCATCTCCTTTGTTAGTTTAGTTTGTGTTCACCTGTTTTCTTTCCATTAGAAGATTGCGTGGAATACAGAAATACAATAACATCGATGCTTTGTACGAGTCCTACACTAATACAATGTTTCATAAACTTTATTGGTTAATACAGAGAGCTAACCCGTTATAGTAGTATTCGCTCTGCATTAATTTATTATACCTAGGTTACATAAGACATATTTTATGTATACGAGTATTACAATGACAAGCTGTTCTTGTTACAAAGCTAATTCTTTTCTGTTCAAAAGTTTAGTCTCTATTACGCGTTATTTGTTTATTACCTTGATCTTTTCAGAAAAAAAAGGCTTTACTAACTAGACTTATGTTTTTGATAGTAATTTTCCTCTAATATTAAAATTATATGCAGTGTATTTTGTTATTCGAAGTTATTTCGCTCCCTATAGCAATTTCCAAATGAACACTGTCATGACAGTTGCTTTATTTAGGTCCACTTGTGAAATAACATCGATCGTTTGTTCGTTCGTTTCAGCCAAATGACGTCCACTGCAGCTGGACAAAGGCCTCCCCCAAGGATTTTCCACAACTTCCGATCCTGCATCGCCCGCATCCAGGCACCTCCCGCGACCCTCACCAAATCGTCGGTCCACTAGTTTAAAATGGCATAGTACAGTGGAAAACAATGTTGTTTAACTAAGCTTAAAGTACAGAAATCGACTCTACCAAAACTCAAACTCATTCGACCGATCCAAACACGATCCGAAACTTAAACTTAACCCTCAAGGTGTTGGGCTCTACTGTTGACTCAGTTCGTTAGTAGACAAGCGATCGGGGACAATTAGTTAATGGCGTCTATTGTCACTGTATTGGAACTTGCAATTGAATGTTCCTGAAAAGATGTAATGGATCATTTCACGCCTGTAAATCGCTATAAACTTGGTCTCTTGATCTCAGGGTTTACAATTTCTAAATAATAAATTCGAAGTTGTTTTTTATATAGGTATTTATTTATTCTGTAACAACAAAATGTTGAAAAAATTGAGCTTTCGTAATAAGACTAGCATTTCCTTAACAATAGGCATTTTTTTTATTTATTTATAATGTAAGAGCATTTAAAATTGAAATAGCTTTATCTTTGCAAAAATAAATTACTTTTACACAATAAGGTCGAGTTGCTTCACCTCAACTGTAACCGTAACTATAACTGGACCGGTGTCGTTGTGTGGACTTGACAAACTTTTGACGTTTGTTACAGTAATAGTAAGATTGTGAAACCCAGGGTTAAACTAATGTACCTACGAGTAGAGTTTTCTTTTTACGTAACAAGTACTAGTAACTGCAGATTGCACCGCAGCGCATCGAGTTGCATCGATATTGGATACGGATCACTTTCGATTGCCGGGACCATCGCACAGTAGAGGAGAAGGGGCACTTTAGCACGAGGGAAGGTTTGAATTTGTTGATTGGTGAACAGCGCTCAAGTTAGAGGTTTGAGTTCTAAATTCTAAAATTCAAACTCAAGAATAGATTGAAGCACTCTAGATTTTTATTTAAGCGTCACTGGAAAAAACACACTTAATTTAATAATGCCTGTAAGCGCCTAGTCACTCTCGCCTTGAAAAGGCCCGCATTATAGTGTTCAGGAAAGACTGCAGCAAGTTCCAGTCCGTAGCTGTTCACATTATAAAAGAGTTATCGAAAAGCTTAGTGCGATAATGTAAAAAAGTTACCCCTTCGACTTTTAGTCTGCTGTATTAGTAACTAGCTTTTGCCCGCGGCTTCACCCGCGTAAAATTTAGTGTCACAGATCGGCATAAATTA